AAAAGGTATTACAATCCTTAACAATATATGCACCAAATTCTGGTGCACCCAAATTCATAAAAACAATACTACAGTACTTTAAGACACAGATTAATCCCAACTCAGTAATAGTAGGGGACATCAATACCCCACTGTCTCCATTAGACAGGTCAACTGGACAAAGAATATACAGAGAGATGTCTGAATTAAATGATACCATACATCAAATGGACCTAACAGATATCTTTTGCTCACAGTCTTATGGGTTCCAAAGGGCTTGGGCAGCTCCACTTCCCTGGCTCTGCCATCCACAGCACACACAGCTTGTCTAAGAGGTTCAGGCTCGCTCCACTCCACAAGTGACACTGCCCTTGGTGGTCATCCTGTAATCCTGACATCTTCAGAATGCTGGGGTCCCCATTGCAACTGAGACTGCACCTTCACCAGTGGCCTCTCCTGGCCTCTCAGGGTACCAAGCCTCAGATTCTCTCCATGACCCCTTCAGTCCTGGGAATCTTCACTGCAATTGAGTTTGTACCTTAACTAGTGGCTTTTTCTGGCCTCTCATGGTACAAAGCAGATTCTCTCCACAGCCCCTTCTCTCCTACCAGTACCATCTGGGAGCCCCTTACATATTGCCAAGTTCTGCTGCCAGTTTGTTTTGCAACCTTGGCCCCTCTGGACCACAACTTAAATGTGCTGAGTTAGAGGAAATACTTCACAGAGGATTTCACCTCTATGATGCTGGTCTCTTTTTTAATCACAGCTGATTTTTCAGCCCCAGTTAATTAGTAGTAAAGCAAAGTTTTCACTAAGGTAGTTCTGGTCTCCTGTTAATCACAGCTGATTCTTTATCTCCAACCAACCAAAACCCACAGATTCTCTATTCAAAATATCTCACAAATGGCCCTGTTAGTATTTTCAATGAACTCTCAAACCTCACTCTGAAATTTCAGAAGCCAGGCCTCTATCATCTTCATGTCTCTTAACATTCTCATCTTTAAGCTCTCATAAAACAGCCTATTAAGGTCTAAGCACTCAAGGGTCTTTTCAGTCTAAAACTCCAAACACTTCCACATTGCTCCCAAAAGCAACATGGTCAGGGTCTGTCACAGCAATAGTACTAAATTTCTGTCCTAGTTACTTTCTGTTGTTGTAAAACACTGACCAAAAGCAACCTGGGAAGGAAAGGGTTTATTTGGCTTACATCTCACAGTCCATTATCAAGAAAAGCAGAGCCAGAAACTCAAGGCAGGAACCTGGAGACAGGAGCTGAAGCACAGACCGGAGAGGAAAATGCCTCATAGACTTTCCCATGGGCCAGTCTGATAGAGGAAACTCCTCAGTTGAGGGTCCCTCTTTCCAGAAATGTCAACTTGACAACTAAAGTTATCCACACACTGACTTAATCTCTTTTAACAGGTTCCACCACCTCTCAATGCTATTACTCACGGGAACCAGATTCCCACATGTCTCAGAGGGGGCAAAGCATATTTATACCATAGCTGCTTGTGAGCCATGCATCTGTAGTGAAATACTCTTCCTGCCTGACTTGCTTATGACCTGTTTCCTTCCCTTTCATCTTTGGGATATGAATAGTTTTCAGGGAAATGAAACTAAGTTTGGTGTAGCAAAACCTATTTAAGAAGGCAGAAATCCAATGTTGAAGAATCTGGGTATGTATTTCAAATGATTTTTGGATTCAGATTAATGAGGATAATATTAGTGTTCATTTTTAGATAATGCAGAGTTATGAATGAGTCAAGTGCATTACATTTATTCTTAGTAACACTAAATATTCTAATATTTTTCAGTTGTTTTAATTACATTTATATAAGTAAATATTTTTTTCAGCGTCTACTATGTTTGACCTTCAGTATAAATTTTCAAGAAGTGCAAGGCAATCTGTACTCTCCAAATATTTTTAGTCTGTTTTCAATTTTGATTATTTATAGAAATTAAAGTTTTTATAGTTTTCAATAGTTTTGTCAAAATTTAACCCATATTCCATATCTATCCCCATTTAAAGTATAAAAGTGCATTCAGGAGAGGGTGCCTGTTCCAGCCTCCCCCTGGCATAGGGACCACGGGACTGCCTGAGAGCTCCAGGATCCTGCCTCCATGTGGTGATATGAATGCTTTGCTTTCTTCTGTGGCCACCTCCTCCTTAATGGATTGTAATCCCTCTGGAACCAGGAACCATAAGCTCAAATAAACTCTTCTTTCTATTAAAAAAGTTCATTTAGTTTTGTATCCATTACCATAATTTTAGAACATTTTAATTATTCCCCCTCAAAGAAATCTTGTACCACTTAGTCATCAAGCACTGATTCTCACCCAACCCTGCCCTAGGGAACCTTCAGCCTACCTTCTGTGTCTCTATATTTGCCTATTATGGATGTTTTAATACAAATGGAATCATGCAGTATGTGATCCTTTATGATCATCTTTTAAATACTTTTTTAATTGTGTATTTTTATGTGTATGAGTGTATTTCCTGCATGTATCTAAGTGCACCCATGTGTGAAATGCCGGCAGGGACCAGAAGAGGACGCCCTGGAACTGGAGTTATGGATGGTTGTTAGCCACCATGTGGGTGCTTGGAACCAAACCTAAGTCCTCTGTAAGAACAGCCAGTGCTTTTAACTACTGAGCCATCTCTCTAGTCCCTATGAGCAACTTTTTTTTTGTCTTTTTGAGGCAGGGTCTTCCTGTAGCCTCAGCTGTCCTGGAACTCACTATGTAGACCAGGGTGGCCTCCAACTCACAAAAATCTGCCTGCCTCTGCCTCCCAAGTGCTGGGATTAAGGGCATTTGCCACCACACCCGGCCTAAGCAACTCTTAATGCAGTGTTTTGAGAGCTCATCCATATTGTAGTGTGCATTAGTACTGCATCTGGTTTTATTCTTGAATAATATTTCACTGTATGGCTAATTTTATTGATCCATTTATCAGGTGATAGACATCTTGGTCGATGTTTTTCTAAATAACTCTAAATATAAATGTCAATTACCATAAATATAAATGTAGGTCATGATAGTAATAGGTTTCAGATAGAGAGCCTTTATTAACTTTAGGTCAGATACAAAGTGATGACTATATATAAGTATGATATATATTTATAAGTCAACAAACACATTGTATTTTTGCATTCATGCTTTTATTTAATAGTAAATTACTGTACTTTTAAAGGCCTCCTTGCCAAGAAAAAAAGGGCATATTTAATATGGGATTTTGCCTGCATTGTAAATTAGACTTTGTGCTGGATAGCTTCAATTGCCAACTTGACACACCTGGGTGGAGGGAACCTCAATTGAAGAATTTTCTCCATTGGATTAGCCTGTGGCCATGTCTATGGGGCATTTTCTTGATTGTTGAGTGATGTGGGAGGGCCCAGCCCACGGTGGGTGGTGATCCCTTGTTGTATAAGAAAGCAGGCTGAGCACCGACTCTAGGAGCAAGCCAGTAGCAGCCTTCCTTCACGGTCGATACTTCAGGTCCTCCCTCCAGATTCCTGTCCTGATTTTCTGCCTTGGCTTCCCTTGAGATGGACTGTGAGTTGTAAGCCAAATAAACCCTTCCTCCCCAAATTGGTTTTGGCCAGTGTTTTTTATCATAGCAATAGAAGCTAACCAAAACAGACTTCTTCCCATCAACAATATCAGTATTTTATAGTTACTATTCAGACATTTGTTCAGCATACTTAAGTGACATTTTAATGTCACTTCTTTTTTTTGAGTCCACATATAATTCTTCAGGGACCCTTGATATATAAAGGTCTGATGTTGTAGCTCAGTGGTAGAGTACTTGCTTAGGATGTTAGGGCCCTGGGGTTGATACCCAATACCGAAAAAAGAAAAACAAACAAATAAAAACCAAGTTCCAGGTTATCAGTCTCATCTAGTCCTGCTGTGCAAAGGCACAGTTGAGAAGGACACTCAAACATCTACTGAATCTTTTTTCTTTCTCACATTCCTATTTGTTAAAGAGCTTTGTACTGAGTTATAGCTTTTCTGAAAAGGAAACATTGGTTGGGTCACATTACCAGCAAGACTAAGTCTTTCTGTGGTATGGTCTAAATGATATTAAAATATGTGACTAGAATAAACATTTCCAAATCCACTGCATATCAGACATTTGAGAGTTGAGAGGTTCTTATTTTATGGTGCTTGTTCTAATTGCTACTTTGTTCAACAGGTGGGTTTTCAGAAAAGTCAAGCGAGTGGAGCTCAGAGGAAGAGGAGCCAGTGAAAAAGGCAGGGCCTGTCCAAGTCCTGATTGTCAAAGACGACCATTCCTTTGAGTTAGATGAGGCGGCATTGAATCGAATCCTTCTCTCCGAGGCTGTCAGGGACAAAGAGGTGGTTGCTGTGTCTGTTGCTGGAGCCTTTAGAAAAGGAAAGTCTTTCCTGATGGACTTCATGTTGCGATACATGTACAACCAGGTAGGGGAGAGATGCCTTTTAAGACTTTTTTGTTTCAGTGCTTCTTTACATTGTGCTTTCATTGGTGTTCCATATTTTGTTTCTATTATGTACCCTATGTGTCTCCATATAAGTGCTATTGGTAACCATGCCCACTTGGGAGCTTTGGGAACAAACTACACAGATGTTTTTAGTCTGAAGTTTTTTTGTCACATCTACCTGAGGATGTAGCTTATTTTTTACTCTTTTAAAAATAAGTGCTACCATAATGATATGACTATGGATTATAGTATTTAAAATGTCAAAATAGCTTTTGTCATAACCTTTTCATGTTAATGACTTTTCACAATGTTTATGATGACATTCTTAAGCATGAGGCAAAGTTTAAAGAATTTTACAGGGACTGGAGAGATTGCTCAGTGGTTAAGCACTGGCTGCTCTTGCAGAGGACCCAGGTTCAATTCCCAGCACCTACATGGCAGCTAACAACCATTCATAACTCCAGTTCCAGGAGATCCGATGTCCTCTTCTAACCTCTGTGGGCATTGCATGACACGATTGCACATACATACATGCAAGCAATACACTCATGCACATAAAAAAAAAGAAATAAAAAAAGAAAATAAAATTTTTTACAGTGAGCAGTTGGGTACTGAGCACCTGTATTCTTCCATTGCCATCAGTGCCCTGGCTTCATACTGTCTGTCTCCAGTGTTCTTTCGAGCCATTCATCACTCTGTCACATTTTTAAGTCTATTCAACTACTGGCATCAGTATGCTTCCCATAAATATTTCAATATGTTATTGTTATGCATTTCTATTTTAACTTTTATTTTATTTTTATTTTTTATCTTTTTGAGACAGGCTCTCCCTGTAGCCCCAGCTGGCCTGGAACTTGCTATGTAGACCACGCTGGCTTTGATCTCAAAGTGATCCACCTGCCTCTGCCTCCCAAGTGCTGAGATTAAAGGTGTGCGCCACCACACCCAGCTTAACTTTTATTTTTAAATAAAATGTACACACAGTGAAACATAAATATTAAATGTACCTTTGTTAATTTTTTGATGACTGCATATTCCTGTGCAGTCAATATTGAGCATCACCCCAGGAAGTGCCCTCATAGCTTTTCCTAGTCCGTTCTCTTCTTATCCACCCCCAGAGAAAACTGACAGTGTTTGACAAAATGGTGTGCTGCAGAAATGAGACTTTAAGGGCCCTTGAATAAGGCAAACACAGGATAAACAGAGCAGAGGGACAGAATGTTGGCAATGGGAAGCATTCTGGTATTTCTTTCTCCCCTTTCCCCAGGGAAATTTGGATACAAACAGGGATTTTGAAGTAGAATAGATACATTGTCCAAAGAATTTTAGACTACTCAGTACTTAGTAAACTGAGGCGGGAGAATTATAAATTAAGCCTAGGCTACATAGTGAGTTCCAGGCCAGCTGGAGCCACTGAGATCCAAAAGGGTTTTTGGATATTTATAGCATAACTATCCATTTTCAGTTTGATCTTCTATATATGATGTACTTTTGAACAATTTTGAGGTGCTAACTTCAGCCTTAATATAGCTTTAATTCAAGCAAATAAAGTGATAAGATAATTCAGGCTTTGAAAGCAAGCAAAATTCTTGCTAATCCTGATTTCTAGCATACTAGTAGTGCGTCACTTAACATAGATAAGAAAATTGATGAGTAAAATGTAATATACTTTCTACTCTTTCGGATGATGCCATTTTAGGCGTACTCACATTTTAACATTAGAATGATATATTTGGTGGCATTTGTCAAGCTGTCTGTGGTGAAGACTGTTTGCTTGGGTTCTTTCTTCTCTGTTTCTGTACCTAGGTGAGCTTTCGGAAAGCAAGACAGCATATGAACACTTGTTTCGCTGCTCCTTATGCACAGGCAGGATTTACCCACTTGTGTAGACCAGATTCTATTTCTATTTCTACATATAAAATTATCATTCATACTTACTGGCAAAATTTGATTTTAAATGCAACAATCTATGTTCATTTTAGCAAGAAAACTGTTAACCTTATTTTGTGCCTGGAACACAGTAGTCAATAATCAATCATTAGAGAGGTGCATGAACATGTACCTCAGTGAATGAAACAAACTAAATTTGAGATTTGCCAAACTATTTGCGGATGCTTTCCTTGTCTTTCAAACTTATTTTTCTGGGATAGAATTTTTATAACTATCTTAGCTAGATCATTGTCCTCAGTTAATGTTGCAGTAATTTTGTTTTCCTAAAAAGCATAACCATGACAATTTGTCCATGAAAATATTTATCTCAATTCTTATTTTCATGCAACATTTTATTGATTGATTTAAATGTCTGCATTGATTCATTGTCTCTTTGTGGTGTATTAGGCATACCGCACCATGGAGGATACCAAAAAAGATTTTTATGGTTTGCTATATCGTGGTTTGGCCTTAGCCAAACCATGTCTCCTTAGAGACAGAATTAGAGCATCATAAAAATGTCAACTGGGGGCTGAAGAGATGGCTCGGCAGTTAAGAACACTGGGTGTTTTTGCAGAGGACCCAAGTTCAAATCCCAGCACCCACATAGCAGCTAACGGCCATCTGTAACTCCAGTTCCAGGGGATCTGACACCCTCTTCTGACCTCCACAGGCATTGCACAACAGGGGTGTGCTTACATACATGCAGGCAAAACATTCATATGCATCAAATAAAAATAATGAACAAAATATTAAAAATAAAGGCAAGAGAACTGAATAACCTTAAAAAATAAAATGTAAATTGTTATATTTCTCAGTGAAGTTCTGGGGAGGGATATAGCTCTGTCAGCAGGGGTTATCAGGAAAATTTTCTTATGGCTATTGGGACTTAAGAAACTTTGAAGGTTTACAAGATCTGGATCAAAAGGGGGAATAAGGGACATTCCAGACTAAGGGTGAGTATGCTGCTTGCATTAAATAGAGGGTGTGTCTTCCACAGAGTGGATCTTATATTGGAGAAAAAGGAATAAAACTGAATAGAACGGATGGTAGACCTGATTATTATGCTTTTTATAAGGATCTAAAATTGCTTTCTACAATAAGACAGAATATAAGAAAATAAAAGTATCTTTTATACTAGTTTGTGTAGACTTAGTAGTTCAAGTGGTTGCCTCCCAAATCTTTCTGCATTTGTGAAGATTTATAACTTAGTTAATATGCAGTTTTAAATTTGAGTATTGTCTAAGGGATACTTTGTATTGCCTAGTTTTCTGATATTTAGTCCTTATGTAATTTTCAGTTTCTTCTGTCTTTTTTCTTTCAGAATCTCATATTCCACTTGTACACTTCTGCCCTACCACTGTCCTAGTCTTGGCTCAGGCCCTCGATTGTATTTTCTATCCTTATAACAACCCACCTTTTGGCCCTTCCTATTATTTCTTTCTCTAACTAGCTCTTCACTGCACCAAGAATAATCTTTCTACTCACAACTATAAAGATAATTACTCTCTGCTTCTTTATGACTCCCCATCACTTGCAGGATAAAATCAAACTGGCTTAGGTACCTCTCCATCCCATAAGACTCTTCAGTCTAACTTCTCTTTACCTGTTATCTTCCCTCAACCTCCATATGCAAAGCATTTGTATATCCTGATATAAGATATTTCCTTTCTTCTTTCCCTCTTCTTTTCCTCCTGCCCCCTTCTTTCCTTCTTTTCTTACTTTCTTCCTTATTTCCTTGAATGCCTTCTTGAAGTTGCTCACCTGGAAAACTCTCCTAATATCACTCTTTTATGAAGTCTTATCAAGGATTAGGGCTGAAGAGAAGGCTCAGCAGTTAAATCTCAGCAGTTAAGAGTGCTTGCCACTTTTCAAGGGGACCTGAGTTCAATTCCCAGCACCCATGTCAGGCAGCTCACAAACACCTGTAATCCCATCTCCAGGGAATCCATTATCCTCTTCTGGCCTCTGCAGGCACCAGTACACACATACATATACCCACACACAGACACACCTACATATAGATAATAAGTAAAATAAAAGAATTAATTGTTCCAGTTTCTGTGTTTCCATTTATACTTTATATATGTTTCAATTTTATATATATGCATATAATATAATATATATTAAATTTTAGCAGTATGGTACTATGCCTGGCTCCTGGTTAACCTGTGAGCTTCCTCTACTCAGTACTATCTTTTCATCTTTGTATCCTCAGAGACTAATATAAAACATGGCAGATAGTTACTCCTCTGGAATTATTTTTGAATAGTGTTTGTATCAATGCAATAGGTGTGCATATGTTTTTCCTTTTAATTAGAATTAGAGAGAGAGGAACTGAAAAGGACAAGAGGAAAAATCACATATTCGTGTCCAGTTCACAGACTTTTATAATTTATAGGAATCAGTTGATTGGGTTGGAGATTACAATGAACCACTGACTGGATTTTCATGGCGAGGTGGGTCTGAACGAGAGACCACGGGAATCCAGATATGGAGTGAAATCTTCCTTATCAATAAACTCGATGGTAAAAAGGTATGATACTATTTAAGTAAAATTGAATTTTTGTTTTCAACAGTAACTTTGAAAATGCTCTTTTGAAAACTAATTTTGTCCACATAAAGCTTAAAACTCCCTATTTAACTTTTTAGTGATCCCCATAGACAAAATCATAATGAAAATAAAATAGCAGAAAACAAGCTAATATTTTTACATTGTTTCAGTATTGTTAAACATTTATTTATTTATTTATATTCTATGAACATGCAATCTATTCCTGCAGAGGTCAGAAGAGGGCATTGAATCCCCTGGATCTGGAGTTCGGGATGGTTGTTAGCCACCATGTAGGTGCTGGGACCCAAACCTGGGTCCTCTGCAAGAACAGCCAGTGCTCTTAACTGATGAGCCATCTCTTCAGCCCCTCAATACTATATTTTTAATCTTAGATTACCAGTGATAATTAATCATTACTGTAATCAGCATCTAATAAGCATTTTTTTAATTTTCTGAGACAGTCACAGCATGTATGAGAAGTCACCTTTCAGGTATTGATTGAGAATGGTTTTCTTTGTTCTTATGGTGTTAGTATGGTGCTAACTCCAGTGTCCTGGATGTTCTGTGCAATATCAGTAATGTACACTACTCACCTATAGGTTGCAGTATTACTGATGGATACTCAGGGAACCTTTGACAGTCAGTCAACTTTGAGAGATTCGGCCACAGTATTTGCCCTTAGCACAATGATCAGCTCAATACAGGTATGGAGTAAAATCTATTTTGTGGATATTTCTTTAACTAAAATTAATGAATATGTTTCTACCTACATGTGGTGGTGAGACAGCAATGACAAATCATCTATTATTTGACTCAATTAACTACCAGTTCTTGTGATTTCTACAAGAAATATTTCTTGTTACTATAGTTCAATTACTGATCACTTTTTAAAGTGGCTACTTTAGTCCCCAAAGGTTTTATAATTGATTTTTTTCTGTGAAAGTCAACGATAAATTCAATAATATTAAATCTTAGAGCTAGGGATGTAGTTCAGTTGGTAGAGTATTTGTCAAGCATGCACAGGTCCTGGAGTTGAGTCCCCAGCACCATATAAAACAGGCATGGTGATTCATGTCTATAATCCTAGCACCGAGGAGATGGAGACAGGAGGATCAGGAGTTCAGGGTCATCTTTGTGTTGACCTAGTGAGTCTGAAGCCAGCCTTGGCTACAAGAGATTCGCTCTTAAAAAAGGAAAAATAAAAGATCTTGGACCACTGAGATAGCTCAGCAGGTAATGACCCTTGTTGCACAAACCTGACAACCTGAGTTCAGTCCCCAAAGCTCATGTAAAGGTGAGGGAGAGAGAACAGACTCTACAAAGTTGTCTTCTGATCTCCACATACATGCCATGGCATGCACACCTGCCACTCTTGCCCCAGAATGCACACACAATAATATAGATACATTTAAAAATCTTTTATTTAGATTTTTGAACACCTATAACAGTAAAGCTGTTTAGTGCAATGGGTTATAAATATATTCTTTTATTTACACCATCAGTGGAAATGTTTCTAAATGTAAAAGCTATGTGTGTCCATAGCTATTAAAAACAGTTTGCATTTTGAAACGTAAATGTAGCCACATAAAGCTTACCCCCCTTTCTCTTTCTTAAAGTACTATTTAGGGGAGGGGTTATTGTGAGCTTTCTAAATTGTCCTGAAAGTCCTTGAAGAGTTTTACCATGACCAGAGAATGTGTAACTGTAGAGATTTTTAAGGGCTACTTTTAGATGTTTTCTATTTTAGGAAAGGAAAGTAGTGAGAAAACAAAGCAGGTCACTGTTTTTAAAGGTAGGAAGCAGGACAAGCCAGTCCAAGTGGTGATCATAGGCGAATGGGGAGCTGGAGCTAGTGAGCAGGCAGCCAGGGCTGTGTGCTTAGGACATCCCATCCGAGTAAACAGCGGTAAGAGGGGAAACTGGATTTTTAAATACAGGAATTTCAAATGAAAGTCTTAGTTATAATCTATGAGTGATACAGTTTAAAAAAAAAACCTACTTTTTGAATGAGTCTTTAAAGTACTGACTCATCTATTTTCGTTAAAATCAGTAGTAAAAATCATATGCACAAACCAATTAAAACCAGACTGACTTTTGATTTTAACATTTATTATTTAGTTAGTATTTATACTTGACCTGAATTGAAATTTTTCATAGAAAAATCTGCTAAGTCCTTAGTAATGACTATTTTATTGTCTGAGAAATGATGTTACTTAAACAAATATAAAAAGAATACTGTTTGTATCAATGAAAAAACATATAACCAACCTTAATTTGTTATTGGTGTTTACCTTCTCAAAAAAGTCTTTTGTTGTTGTTGTTGTTGTTGTTTTGAGATGGCCCCAGCTGGCCTGTAGAGCAGGCTGGCCTCCATCTCACAGAGATCCACCTGCTTCTGTGCCTACCACCGTGACTAGCTCAAAAATGTCATTTAATATTGTGATGTGTTCAAAGAGCAGTAAAGCAGGTACATAAAGGTGTAGGCATAATATTCGGAACCTAACCTCTATGTGGAGGAACTTTCTGTAAACATAAATAAATAATAAATTGTGAATAAGTAAACATAATTTTTCTAAACAATTTTCCACTTGGGCCTTGCGGCCCACTCCTGTAATCTCAGTGGGAAGTTGAAGCAGGAAGAATGCAAGTTTGGGCAATGTTGGTGAGACCCTCTCTCATCACGAAAATGAAAAAGGGCTTGTGGTATAATTCATTCATAGAGTACTTGCCTTGCATGTGCCAGGTCCTAGGTTGGATCCCTTATATTAGAAAAACAACACCCCCAACACACAATTTTCATATAGGCTGTTCAAATTTGGACTAGTATACTTGGAAAAGTGATTATTTTATTGGCTAATTATTAAATAGAGTCATAAAATAATTTTAATATTTGGGCTATACAGCAAGTGACTCTGGTATTTGTGGAATGTTTTTATGATCACTATACATTGTTGTCTGTTGAGCTTTCTTTACTCCTCTAAGTCTCATAAATGTAGGGAAGAGGGTTTATTTGTGTAATAAGTGCTTTTCTAAAAACAGAATAACAAAGTAAGTGCTCAGAACGATGATAACTATCTTCTCATTTTGGCTTCCTATTTCATAATCAAGGTATACAACTTATCCCAAAATGTCCAGGAAGATGACCTTCAGCACCTGCAGGTAACAACATTCACATTCTTTGTATATCTGGTGCTCTCTTGGACATAATAAACAGAGTTTGGGGGAACTTTGAACATAGAACCAGATAAGGGTCATTGTGTTGCCTGGTGTCCTGCAGCAGACTTGTATGGATATGCTCTTTCTAATTCCGTTTTCAGGTTCCTTTGTTTCCATGAAGCTGCTTGGTGGCATTCCTACACATGTGAAAACATAGGCAAATCAAAGTAGAAAAAGAATCTTTGGTATAAAAAATCTCCAAATTGCTATGTTGAAGTCTTAAGGTCAAGAATTTGATAATTTGTTGGTTTGATGTCTATAACATGCCAGATTTCTTTCCTTGTGGATCTTGTGGCTAAGAACTATTAGAGTCTGCCTGATGACAACTCAGAACTCTACTTGAGATCTGAAAGAGATTTTGGTGATACAGAAGTCATCTTTCATCTTTTTACATAAGGAAAATGAGGATGAAAACATAGTGACTTGCTCATGTGACTAATTAATGGTAGCAGGAGAATAAAACTTGGGTCTCCTGGCTGAGTTCTGTATTTCTTCCACTCCAAGAAATTTGACTCTAAGATCAGATATTTTCTAAAGGTTTTCCTCATCTGCAGGAGCAATCTTCTGTTTCAGTTCCTGTTAGTCTTGAGTAGATAGCAAAACTATTATTTCCTCTGATCATTTTCTGTGTGTTTTACATAAAACTTTACTTTGCATATATTACTAGCTGGGCCATCAGAACCATGTCGCAAAATGTGAAAGTTTAATAGATATAAAGGATAGCGGAGAAAGTAATCCACAACAATTAAAATATCATTTGGACTTCACCTCCCACAGTGCATCCAGAAAGATTTCCAGTATCTCACACTGATCATTTATGACAAGTAGGCAGTACACAGACTAAGTCTTTTTTTTCAAAATAAAAAAAATTACTTCCTTGGGCATATGTCATAACCTAGCCAACTACTTTCCAAGTTAATGACATGGCACAGTCGAATGCCAGCTTAGGCTTATCTACAAAAAGGATAATTTGGGGCTTTTTAAAAATTGATTTATTTTGTATATGTGTATTTTGTCTGCATGTATGTAGGTGCACCTATGTGGGCAGTGCCCACAGAGGCCAGAAGAGTGCATTAGATTCCCTGGAGCTGAAGTTACAGACCATTGTTAGCCACCATATGGGTGCTGAGAACTGAACCCTAGTCCTCTGCGAGAGCAGCCAGTGCTCTTAATTGTTGAGTCACCTCTTCAGCCCTAATTTTGGGCTTCGGTGTTAAGCAAGCATTATAGTTTGGTCATTTACATTTTTTTCCAGTAAATGACAATAGCTTTCTCAAGTGAGTGTGGATTTGTTCTTTCACTACACAATTCTAATGAGACTGCTGTCCTGGTATCAGCTGCCTTATGGACTTTGACTTCATCACTCTGAACAAGTGCCTGGTAATTGCCCTTTACTTTCTCAGTTTCCACTGCTCCTGCAGGGAAAGCAGTGCTGTTCTAAAGGAGTAAGGGATGAGCATCCTGGGTATCAACATTCTTCCCCAAATCTAAGAAGCCAGGTGGCTTGTTAGCCATGTTTATAAAAGGGAACACTTCCTGTGTCGTGTGGGGAAAACATTCAGCAAGCCTGGATAACTAACTCCTTAAAAATTTTTTTTTATTGAATCGAGGATTTCACACAATGTATTCTGATAATATTCTGATCCCCTTCCATGCTCTGCCTCTACCTTTCTACCATCCTCCCCCACTTCATATCCTTTATTATTATTTGTCTGTTATTAAAGGCCCATTGAGCCACGAGTGGCGGTGCACACCTTTAATCCCAGCAGTCAGGATGCAAAGGCAAGTAGATCTCTATGAGGTCGAGGCCAGCCTAGTCTGCATAGTGATTTCCAGGCCACCTAGGACTACAGGGAGACCCTGTCTCAAAACAAAACAGTCTCATTGAGTCTGTGTTTCTTGGGTATGGGTCTATTCCTTGGAGTTTGGTCAGTCTACCAGGCATCACACTAGTAAGAAAAACGGACTCTCCTTCTCCCAGCGTCTATCAATTGCCAATAGATCCTGAGTAGAACAGGGGTTTCCTGCCTTCCTCCCCTGTCCCTTTGGGGTCCCTGTCTGGCTTGAGTTTGCACATACTTATGCATGTTGTTATAAGTGCTGTGGGTTCATATGTGCATCCTGTAGTATCCAGGCTACATAGTTTCGTTGTATTCATCTACCACCTCTGGTTCTTACAGTCTTTTCTCCCCCTTGTCCACAGTGATCCCCGAACCTTGGGAGGAGAAGGTGTAATAAATGTGTTCCATTTAGGGTTAAGACTCTACAATTTCTTTTTCTCTACATATTGACCAGTTGTGGGTCTCTATGTTACTTGCCATTTACTGCTAGAAAAACCTTCTCTGGTGAGAGTTGAGAGATACACGAATGTACGGGTCTAATAAGTCATTATGAGTCAGTTCAATACTATGTCTATTTAGTGGAATGATAGTAGTAGGTTCTCCCCTATGGTCTATAACAGTATCAGGTATGGACTCCATCTTGTGAAGTGGTCTTAAATCCAATTAGAGGGTAGCTCACAGGGTTCATAGCTGGGTAAGACTGATTGCCTTTCTCTGTCAATAACATGCATGGCACCTCTAGTACTATGAAAACTCGCCAACAGAAATGAAGCTTTGAGATCAGTACCAGCTCGATTCCCCTTGTTTGTTCTGAAATTCAGTATGTGGTGTCTTCAGCAATAGGGTCTTACCATCAAATTCTGGTGGGTGACCAAGTGCAATGGCAATAGCCAGTATTGTTTGAGGATCTATGGGGTCTCTCTGGTCAATAACTCCAAAAGTGGAAGTCCATTCCTGGCACTGGGCTTTTCATTTGCTAGCTTATTGTGTCTCTTAGGGCAACTGAACCCCTGTTCTAGGGTAACTACATCTAAACTCTTTTTATATAATGTATATGTATATGTTGAAAGAAGGTTCTACAGATTTCTACATGTCTCTTTCAAAAGACCTTTAATGTAGCCAGGCATGGTGGCGCATGCCTGTAGTCCCAGCACTTGGGAGGCAGAGGCAGGCGGATCTCTTGAGTTCAAGGCCAACTGGGTCTACATAGTGAGTTCCAGGCCAGCTGGGGCTAAAGGGAGACCCTGTCTCAAAAAGAGCCCCCCAAAAGACCTTTAGTGTTAGTGACTCCTCCTCTCCCTCCCTCTTCTGCCCTAACCTCCCTTTTCTTGCCCCATGAAGCCATCCTACCCATGATTCCCCTTTCCCATTTGTATCACTGCATTCTAACTCCCCTCCCACGAACCGCTCCATGGCCCCTTGTTAGTTTTCTTCTCTCTAAGAATTTTTCAATAGAAATACACTATCTAAAGATTCAAAGCTACTACTGGGTGACACTCTTACCACAACCCTCCATCACTCACCTCAGGCCTGTGCACCCCCAAAATCTTGCATTTGTGGTAAAACAGAAACTTGTTTTGTCGTGCTTCATTAATTGAAAGCAATAAAAAAATAAGAGAAGACAGTACATTTGATTCCCTACTTTAAAGCCAAATGTCTAATTTTGTACGCCAAGTCATCCCTTTAAATTTCCTTAGGCCACAACTTTTGTAAATATTAGGTGAGTTAGTGAAGTTCTGCTTTGAAAGGTCATTTAACATATGTTTCTTTCTCCCTCACAAAAAGAAAAATTGTTCTATATTCTTGCTATTAAAGATACTAATTTTAGGGCTGAGGGTTTACCTTAGAAATAGAGTAGGTGCTTGGCACCGAATCCCTATGCATGTGCACGCGCGCGCGTGCACACACACACACACACGTGCTCAAAAGAAAGGGGCGTAAGTTTAAAAGGAAGTTTATTTTTAAAATCTATTTTATATTCTTAATGATTAGATATATAACTACTATATCTCTGCTTTCTCTAATGCCTGTTTTCTGAAAATTATTATTGTAATCTTAATAATGTAGTACTCTCTTACGGCTAGAGGAAAATGAATTGAAGAAACCCAAGGAGTAAACTAATCTCAATCAGTCTCTCGCTCCCTCTCACTGTCCCTGTCTCCTTCTTCCCCTTGCCCCCTCCCTCTCTAATTTTCCTTCCAGCTTTTCACAGAGTATGGCAGGCTGGCAATGGAAGAGACATTTCTGAAGCCTTTTCAGGTGAGTGAAGGCCGACTGATGATAGCTTCTTACTCTCTTTTATGTAGTCTATAACCATGATAGCAATCAGTTAGTGACGTTTCTCTACTGACAGTTCATTCAAGAAGCATTTAAAAATACCCATTTCATTCCATTTGATGTGAAGAAGAGATAGAAGTGGGAAAATAAAAGCATATATTCAATATTCTGGCCCCTGCAAGAGGACCAGCTTTTCCCTGAACTCAGCCCTAGAGATGCCACAGAAGCCAGAAGACAGTTGATGGATCTGTCCAACATAAAACCTAAAACAAACAAGCTAGGGCAAAAAAAAAGTTGGTTGCAAACCACTCAAAAGCTGACTGAGTGCCAGAAAGACTCCTGGGGGAGGCTTTGGAGGTGCCCTTTCTTTCTCACACATTAATCTCGTCTATTGCCTGTGAGCGCAGCAGTACCCAGCCTAGCTGATGTGCTGTGACTCTGGCAGTTCTAAAGAGTCACTTGTGCCCTTTCAGCTATCAGACCATTGAAATTATGGGCCCCAAAGAATTAAAAATTTCCCAAGAACCCCACACAGGCCCAAGCCCTGGTGCCAACCAGAGGAGGCACTAACCTCCCAGGAAGAGATTTTATGTTTCTGGTAATTTATTACCACTGATGGCCAAGACCATAATGGGCAAGACCATACCTTGCCGAGGACTGTATACATAGCTCTTGCCCTGTATGTAAACCTAAACCTTTTGTCAGTACTCCCACACATAAACTTTGGGGGTGGGGGTGGTCACTGGACCCTTAATAAAAGTGGACCCTTAACAAATAATGTTACAATGTGAGTAAAGTCTCCTTTCTCTACTCTAACTGGCATACTGAGGCTGGGTACTCACCTGCTTATTGGGGCTACCAGAGTTCTGGCTTTGATCTCCCAAACCCCAATAACCCTGGGGTGGGAAGTCTAACATCAGAGCAACATGTGAGCTTGGACTGAGTAGTGTCAGTCACTTTTCAGTCCTAGTCCCTTTCTTTACAAGAATAAGAACTAGAATTAAGTCAAACACCCTTGCAAATGGTGCCTGAAGGAGGTACAGATTTGCATAACCTCTAAAGCCTCACTCCTTCAACCTAAGCCTGTCAGGGGAAACCTGAGCTAAATTCTAGAGATGCATCCCAAGGTGGATGATAACTAGAAGGGAATATGAGCACTCATGGAAAGTAAATGATTATGATATATAAGGTAAAATTAGAAGCTCTAGGGGCTGAAGAGATGACTCAGTGGTTAAGGGCACTGGCTGTTCTTGTAGAGGACCCATATGGTGGCTAATGATCACCTGAAAGTCCAGTTCTAGGCGATCCAGTGCCCTCTTCTGGCCTCCATAGGCATTATGTGCATGTGGTGCACCTACATGCATGCAGGCAAAACACTCATAAGCATAAAAGAATACATTTTTTAATTAGACGTTCTGGTGCCAAATAATAGGTTTAAATTAACTATTTTCCTTTTCTACTGCTGAGTAATAAATTGTTTTCAAACCACAAAGTCACACAGTTTCTGAGAGTGTGGAATCTGGAGTGACTCTAGCCTGGGTAGATTTGACTCTGGGTCTCCCATCAAATCAAGCTCAAGATATCCAGGAGACGGTTCCTTGAAGACATAAGTGGAGGGCCCTTTCCAAGCTCAGTCTGAATCTGTCTCCTGGGGTCCTAGGAAGGAGCAAAGGGGGAGGCTATGTAGAACAAAACCAATCCCCATTTACAGTGTTCAACATGATTGTCTTTCTTTTAAATTCATTTGTTAGATCGATAGTTGAAGTGTTGTATGGCAATTAGATTATTGCTTTGATGTTTCTCTCAATGTGCTGTTCCCAGGACTATTTATGAACATACACTGGGGATTCCACCCTAAATTACAGAAAGGAACCTTAAGTTTTGCCAGCAGGTGTCACTGCTCCTTACACATCACCAGATAAACCAATAAAAACATTAGCCAATCCCTAGATAGACAGACAGACAGACAGACAGACAGGAATTACTGGTTTGGGTTTAAAATGCCAGTGACTTAAAAATGAATAATAGGGAAAACTTTGAGATTACTACTTGTTAGTAAACTGTGCTGACATTATGAAACATCAATGAGAAGAAGCAGTTTTGGGGGCCAGGGAGATGGCTCAGTCATCAGTGCTTGCCTGACTGAACTATCTCCCCAGCCCCCAGCAGTTCCCTGTGGCTCCATGACGAGCTAGCCAGGCCTACTTGGAAAGTTCGAGACCAAGAGATCCTGTCTCAAGAACAAGATGAACAGCTCCCAAGGAAGACACCCAAGATTGTTTTCTAGCCTCCACATGCATGCACATTCAATTGCAAGCACACCTCCCCCAATGTGCAACACACACACACACACACACACACACATATTAAAAAACCAGTTTTGAATGAATGAGTCAACAATGATTCCCTAAGGAAGCATGGGCTTCTGTTGAGATGAGGTCTAAGTAGTAAAAGTGACACCCAAAGCCTTTTAATAATACTTGATATTATAAAGTGACCAAATTCAAAAGAAAAGATACTATGCATTATAGAATTAAAAGTAAAATGCAAATATATTCAAAGAATATATTTTTTCATGTACAATTCATGTACAGTGCAAACGTATTCAGGAATATGATGTTAGTGTATAATTCACACATTAGAAAAGAAAAATAGCAATGTAAAATAACTTTCAATGAAATTCAGTTTACTTAGCAAATGTTTCTTTTTAAAAAAATTAGCCATTTCTATCTTCCTTTTTCTGGGACGACACTTTATTCATTTGGATAAAGTTGTGATACAGTTTTAATTCTTGCCTGTGGAAGTAAGGTGAGAGTTAATGCTATTTTAAAGGTAATAATTTTATATCAAAGTTAACTCATTTAATCAATTCCAAATAGAATTCTTATCTTTGAAATAGAATAAAATTATATATAATAAACAAGGCCTATGATAAACCAGTGTGAAGGCGAGTAGTGAGGAAACGCAAACTGAGCTCAGAGATTGATATGGTTCCTTAAATGATACCAAGTTCAAACCAAGCAAGCAAAAAGTATTATTTTAAAAATAATGTTTTTTTTTTAAAAAAGGGAATTTAAAAGCTAAGTGAATTTAGCTTAAAACGTTGAACCAAGGGTGTGCTGGTAAATGTTTACAGCTGGCTCAGAAGGGAGCAGCTGGGCCTGATTTGTATCAGTTGCTCATTTCTATGGTATAAACACTTTTTTGAGACAGGGTCTTCCTGTAGCCCCAGCTGGCCTGGAACTCGCTATGTAGACCAGGTTGGGCTTGATCTCACAGAGATCCACCTGTCTCTGCCTCCCAAGTTCTGGGACTAAAGGTGTGTGCCACCATGCCTGGCTTCATCTATGATGTAAAGACTTTTACTCTTTTGTCTTCTAACTTGATACCAAGTGCCTTGCTTAATTCCTCAGATTTTTATAGCTGTTCCTTACAAGCCCCAGTATCCTGCTCTAAGCAATGCAACACCCCTACAGAATACATTCTTTAGTAAGATACAATTTTTTTTCTTTACATGACATTATTTTTCTCTTGTTTTGGTCACTGTGAGCACTTTGGGTCTTAAGTATAACTACATGAACATATCTATTCTATAAATAACCCAGATTTTTTGTTACTAACTTCACTTTAAAAGGTTTAGTTGAAAATGATAGCTCTCTTCCTTGATCTACACATGGTTGTATGCCACAGCCATGTGAATTTTTCAAGGACTTTGGATATCTAATTTCCAGTTAGAGAACCCAGTGATAGCCTCTTGCCAGGGGTGACAAGAGCTTTATCTATTGCTCTGCTGTGAGTGTGTTTCTTCCTTGGTCATTTGAACTTCCATGACCCCACACTCTGCACTGAATGATCACATCCTTGGTTCTGGATCGTCATGACTAATTGTGGGAATTTTACAGATTGTCAGATGTTATTTGAAGTTCACTCAGAATACAACTTCTAGCAAGTCTGAATTCCTCTGTCTGCTAAACATGGCCGCCAGCTCTTGTGACCCCTGGAAGGCTCATTTTCCATTGTGTAGCTCTGAGGCTTTCTCAGTGGGTTTATTATTCATTTCCTCTCAGGTCTGCTTGCTGGGCTGTGGAGGAGATTCATTTTGCCATGTGGTAATGACAGTGCTTATTCCTGGGTCTAAACAGAAAAGTTCCTCTCTTAGACTGGGATACAGATTCTAAGATGCCCCTATGGCTTACTATTGAATGCTCTCATTGGCTATAGAAGTCCAGTTTGCTATTTAACCATTTAACTCTCTCTAATTATGCATCTCTAAATATGAAATAGAAATATCCCTCAATTGATAGGCATATTCTAATCTAAAGACCACTTGGGTCAGTGTTTGAGATATCAATATATTTCTCACCAGACATTTCGTATGGTGTGTGTATTTATAATAGGTGAGTCTAAAAAAGCTTATATAATCTTCAATAAACTTAAAATAGCGGTCATAATATTGCTGAATTCTGAAGCCCTGAATAGATCTACTGACTCCTGGGATTTTTCTGAGCCTGGTACCCTGAAGTAGATGGGGATTGTTGGCAGAATTGAGGGGCTAACAGAGGTGAGTCTGCATCCGTAGCTTTGGTCATACATACAAAGCTTCCTTTGTAAACAACTGAATTAGAATCATTTCAGTCTATTAACTAAGTTTAGACAAGGGAACCTAGTAGTCTGAGGGCCAATTCAACCACCGTGTAGAGGGCAGCTGTGCCAGGGAAGATCGAGTGCCATTTTTAAGTACAGGTGGTCAGTAACTGAAAGTTTGCTATAATAGGAATAATAGTGGCATAAATTCTAAAAAAAGCTTTCCTGTCCATGAACTCGATTTCCTTTCTTTCAGAGGCCTTATTTCCTCCTTGAACATGTATTTTAGGACTGTTTGCATTTCGTCTCTTATCTTTCATCTTGTTAGTGTTAAGTACTTTGTTTGTTCAGTTAACTCATCCTAGTTTTTTCCATAGCTTTTTTTCTTTTTGATTTTT